TTATTGCGGTTTGTAAAGACGAGAGGCGAACCCATAAAGTATTTAAAAGATGAGAATTACCTTCTACTCCAGGTGGAGCTTCTTCTGAAAATAAAGACAGAAAGAAAAACAACAAAATGAAAACCAAGTCAAGCTGTGACACTGCAGACGTGACAAAAGACTCGCAGCAACACACACACACACACACACACGCACACACACACACACACACACACACACACACACACACACACACACACACACACACACACTTTGCTGAGATTATACGACCCTGAGGGGGGTGAGCACAAAGCAGAATAAAAAGGCTATGTTCACAGACAAAAAATAAAAATAAATAAATAAAGCCTTTTCTTTTTTCCTTCTACTCTTTTCTCTGAGCCTTTATGACTGAATGAACCAAATATGGATTAGTGGATCAATGAGACTCCCAGCAGGAATCTGGTCACTCTGCACACTGTCATGTCACCGTCTCTTGGGATGCATAAAAAAACAAAACAAGGAAAACAAACAAACGCAGTGTTGGATATTTTTCAGGAGCAAAAGGTACAAACACAGAGGGATGAGCTTAGATCAGCGTCTGTAATCCGCCCCACCGGATACTTGTAGCCTCAGACGGTACAGCAGCTCTGTGCAGGGTAGACTCAGAAAGATGTGCAAAAAAAAAAAAAAACACCCACCCGCCTAAAATATATTAGTTGTTAATTTTCCACACTTTAAAAGCATGCGCCCATCACTGCGCCTCGACAGGCGAGGCGTTTGCATCCCGAATCCTGCTGTCTGTGCTTTTCCTCGCTGACAGCAGGCATGCAACTCCAACAAAGAGGCTGCACACGTGAAGCCTTCGTCTTTCCACCTGAGCTGACACAATCAGGTCAGCCGCGTCTAAGAATGGAGGCTGGAAGTGACGAGCTCCTCTTTTTTTTTTTCTTTTTTTGACAAAAAAAAAAAAGAAGCATCAAACCTCTTCAGAAGTCGTCACTCACCTTCCTCCCTGAAAAGAAATTAGGCAAAGATTTGAAATGATCAGAGAGCAGATGATAGTTTGTTTCTTTTTTTTTTTCATTGTGATAAAAGTGGATTTTACTTACCCCACCTCCTCCACTAGAACTTCTTCAATTACTTCTTCCTCCACCACTTCTTCTTCTTCTGCTTCTTCGATGACGTCCTCCACTGCTTCCTCAGACATTTCAGCTTGTAGTTTCTTTAACCGAAGAGAAGAAAAACAAGCAATTACATCACAGGGTCCTTTCAGGTTTCACTAACTCAGATTTAAAACCTGTTTATGTTTTTTTCTGTTGTTTTTTTTTTTAAAGACGTCATAAACGTACCGGCTTAAACTTTCCACGAATCTGATCGGTCACAACAAACTCGTTTCTCGGATGTTATTTACCTGGATCCCTGTTTTTAATCACTCTAATACGACAACAAGCCCTCGACAGATGGCTCCTCTCTTCAGAGCCATTTTTTAGTTTGTGCAAACAACAAAAACAACAACAAAAAAGATAAATAATAATAAAAAAGAAAGAGAGAGAGAAAATATCTTGGCGGTAGGGCTGTGAAGTTGGAACAGCAGTGGAGGGAGAAATGATTCTGCAGGCTGAGGCCCAGGGTGTTAAACAGCTCCAGGCCTGATCCGCAGTCATTTCCTCTTGGCGCTGATCGAGGCTGCAAGGCAGCCGACGAAGGCCCGAGTTGCGCTCAAACTGCAGGGAAGCCATGAATTTTTTAATGGCCCACCGAGGCATCTAAAGACGAGATGAGTTTTCTCTCTCTCTTTTTTTTTTTTCCTTTCTTTAAATCTTCACAATGGTTGATCAGGTAGCATGTAGCCACTTTGAAGCGGTTTGTTTTCAGATTTCCCGTCATCAAATCGAACAGGAAGCGCACACTGGGGTTTCAGTCACGATTCAAGGAATGCATGAAAAGTAGAGGTTAAAGTTTTTCTCTTCTTTGCGAAATAGCTCAAGAACAATAAAAGTTGACAATAGTAATTTCAGTTTTGTTGCCTACCTCTTGCGTTTCCACTTTTACATTTACTAATAAGGTCTTTTTTATCCTGATTTTTCATTTGAATGCATGCTACATGAAACCGATTCAAACCACTCCAATGAAAAACACTATTTGTATCTTATAATTACGAGAAAGCCTAAATAATGAGATGCAAGTTTTTTGGGGTTCTTCCCCAACCTAGTGGGCTTCCGTAGACTTTGGAAATGAAATCCCCATTTTTTCCCCCATTCACAATTTAGCAAAACAATAAAGTTTGAGGCTTTAAAAGTGACAAAATAAGTAAAAGTTCACTCTATATAATATTACTTATAGAGAGAAAGATGAACAGTTCCCCGCTATTGAATAAACTATTTTTTCACAAAACATTTTTGCACCTTTTTCCCCTTATTCTTCTCTTTATATCAGGACTAAAATAAGCTGACATTAGCTGCTACTTGCTGCTCCTCTATGGTTACGGTAAAGTGACTGACTTGACTGCATAAGCAAATCAAGTCGGTCATAATCTGTGTCCAGCTGTGAGGTCGCCAAGTCCTGAAAGGCAAAAGAAAAACCAACTTTATAAATCAATGTGCTTTTTACGACGTCCACCTTGTCCCACCTCTAACCGCTCCGTTTTATGCACAGCCTCCATGTTCCTTTTTAGCAGAGCTGCTTCAAACATTGATCCAAGCACAGCGGTGACCTCCGACTGCTGGAGGTCAAGGTGAACAGGAGCAGACTGCATCAGAGTGCCATGTCACTGGATTAGATGTCAAGATTTGATTGCACACAACACTTCTTCAGGTTTTATTTATTTTTTTCCTCCCTATTTTTTTCCACAGGCTTATAAATCACACGATCATAAAATCCAATGTCAGAATGGCTGAAGAGCGAAGGGGAGGGCGAGGGTCTATTTTTAAGAATAATAGGACGAGCTCTTGAACAGGTGCGGAGCAGCTCCTCCAGACAATGGCTCACCTCTCTGTGCTCCAGTAAATCAGTGGGCCGCGTCCAAACATTCAGCGGGCTATTTATGTTGCTGCAGGTTTGACAGCCAGCTGCCAGTAATGGGAGAGAGGGGCCATTTCTTTTTTTTTTTTTACAACAATAGAGCTGAGGAGAAGCTGATCTCGACTTTGAAACGAGGCGTATTTCTTCTGATACTGTGAAAGTTTCAATGCTGAAGGTCTGGATGCACATTGGGCATTTCTTCTTGAGACTTGGCGTTTCTCACCATTTAGTTTCTCAAAGCCAAACACTCATGGTATTTGACAGTAGAGTCGAGTGGGGGGAAGTGAAAGGTCGAGGAAGTGGGGGGTAAAAAGCAGTGGGATATGGAAAACCAGACGGATGGATTTAACCAAATGTGCGTTTGGTTTGACAAACGCGTTCAGTTGGGGGTTTGGCTGAAACTGGGGTGGAACGGCACACCGACCGGCTGACGGTGGCAGGAATGTTGCTGGTGCCGCTTTCAGCATTAAGGAGCATTAAGCCAAAGCCTGCGAAGCATGCCACCAACACGGCGGTCTCAGGGGCGAGCTTAGCACCTTCTTCATCCGCATATGCAGCACTCGGAACCAAAAGCAACCTAAAGCCAACTTAGGCCACATCGCATCTAGTTATATCTCTATTTCTGGCTTTTTAATGCTGCGTGTAAAATCACTTGGTTCATCCTGCCAATATCAGATATTACACCAATACCTTTAATGTTCAAAACCATGCCAAAAGTCCATTAAGTTGACCCTGAGGTCAAGGCCACTCTTACCTCTTGCGCTGAAGAAGCGATGGGATTTGGGGCAAGTGTTGTTCTTCCTCTTCTACATCCAACCAAATCCAAACCCAGTCATCCTCTCTTCCAACCAAACGGCACCACTTAATACAGCCCCGGGTGTCTCGTGACCGCATGTCTTTGCCATGACTGGTTGGGACGGTCCCTTCTATTGTTGGAGGCACAAAGTCAGAGGAGACGTACCTGGACCTAAATACAGCCTTCACATGCTAGTCATGAACTGCACCGGGGGGCAAAAGGAGGGTGGAGGGACAGAGGGAGGGTGGAGAGTTGTGGCAAAATAAGACAGAAGAAAAAATATAGGTGATTTAGATAGACTGGACAAGAGGATCTTTGGAATCTGACTGAGATCTTGTGTTTGTGAGCTATACCAATATAGAAATTTAATATTAATATTTAAAATGTAAAAAAAAAGTATTTTTAAGAAAATACAAGATTTCATGTTTGAGAAAAAGTGTCAAAACAGATATTGCATCTCTTTTTAAGTCCTACTTTTTAAACATGGAAATGGAGACTGAAAGGTAGGAAGCGACCATTGACACAAATAAAGGAAACGATGTAGAGCGTATAGAGCACAAAGAAGGAAAGGAAATACAAAGAAGAAAGAATGGAAGGAATTCGGACAAGAAATGAAGGTTGGATGAGACAAAATGAAGTAGGTCACAACGGAAGAAAGAAGGGACAACCAAAAAACAAAAGACAGAAGATGGGACCAAAGAAAGTAAGGCATAAGGAAGGGAGGAAATGAAGGAAAGGAAACTCAAGGGAGAGAAAGAAACTGAAGAAGACAGGAACTGAACATAAAAACGTGAAAAATATCAGGAAAGACAAGAAAAGACACAACAAAAACAAAATAAATGGGATAAAAAGAGGAAAATTTAAGAAATGGAAGAATGGCAGGACAAAAAAGGATGCCAGAAGACAGTAAGGACTTGATGAACCTGAACCGAGGTTCAAAATGAGCCAAGAATACAAAATGTTGTATTCTATTTGTCTATACCTGCAAAAAAAACCACAAAAAAAAATTCTAAACTTTTTCTGTCAGTGAAGGAATCCTGGCTTTACAATCCATTTCATCCACAGAATATTTCAGTCTTGGTAAATACACCTTAAAAACAGCTTACAGGTGAATGAAAGGTAAAAAATTACGACTGTGAACAAAAGAGAAGCTTGAATACTTAATGCTTGAAGATGTAAAGGAGGCATGAAAACAGACTTCAACTGGAATACCTCAATGAATTTATTGTTGCAGTTGAGTCAGTCCATGGTACAACGTTACAAACATCCGTCCACGTTCATGACACCGACATACAGAATAAGATACAAGTACAGATGTGTGTGTGTTGCATAGGCTTGGCGCTACACAAACAAGTGCCTGGTTAAAAATTGAAAAAGAAAAGCTTAAAAAACAAAACAAAACAAAAAAAAACATAAAAAAAGGACACAAGATTGTAAAAAAACCCAAAAAACATACAGCACAATAAAACCACTGTATTAAAAAAAAATAAATGTCACATTAATTCACTCTATAAAATATTTTGGTCAAGCTCCCTGCTTTTTTGAGGAGCCAAAGGAATGTGATTGTCAGACTGTTGAGCAGTAACATTAATCAATTTAATGCCCTGACAAACCGTTCATGTACTAATCAAAGCTTGTGCCGCTCTGACGAGACGAGCAACACGACAACATGTCAGAGAAAAATTTCAAAAAATAATCACAGAATCTTTGTTGCGATTCTTTCATCTCCTGTTGCGGCGGAGACGTTCTCGTTGCAATCGTAAGGCGAGAGTTTCTACATAGTGGTAAATATCCTTAAACTGCGAACTCGTACAATTGCTCGAGCAGAAGAGGCGTGGAAGAGATTACTGTGACAGACAGAATACAAAACTTGGTTTTCCGTACGTAGCACAGCTTCAAAGCAGCAAAGGCACCACGAGCATCTCACACAGGAATGTAGGAAGATTTTTTTTTTATTATTTTTTTCACAGCACTGAAGTAACGGATTTCCCCCCTTAGAGACTTACTCCTTTTTTTTTTTTTTTTACTCTCTTTGTCGCACTTAAACGTTTTAATATCAATGATAACCTGAGTACATTTTAAAAAACAGGAGTTTTCAAATGATGATTTATTTTGTTGAGGGGAAAAATTGGAAAATTACGTGTTTCCATAGGGACAAATGGGTTTGGGTAAGATTTTTTACTCCAAATGAAATAAAAAATAAAATCACTGTTTGGAAAATTCATCTTGTAACTTTATTTAGGTTATCTTTGTCTGATATTAAATTTGTCTTTTATGTAAGGAATTTAAGTGGGACAACAACAATAACAAAAATAGGAGAAACCAGTAAGGAGGCAAACCCTTTTCCCAGTGCTGTATAAAGTGATCAACAAAAGCCTTAAAAAAACAACAACAGCCAGATATGATAAACCACATTAAAACTTAAATTAAAATGACATAAAGGATAATAAGTCATAATGGCCTTCTGAATATTCAGCACTCCTTTCACCTTTACAATTAACCGTCTTGTAGGTGAAGAGTTTTCCATCGTAAATTAAAAATAAAAGCAAAAAATACCTTCTATGAGCATAGAGATGTTATACATGATACAATGATACTCAAAACGTCACATGTGCTAACTTATGTTACTCAGACCTTTCCTCTGCTATTGTTAAGACATAATTAATACAAGTGAAATCTGCTAAAATCTAGAAGTGCTTACATTTCTATCCTGAACAGGTGGCTGCTGAGTATAAAATAGCGATGTGTGAAGCCGTCGCTTTAAATATAAATTAAAAAAAGAAAAAAACAAGAAAACAATTAAGGAGAGATGGAAAGTGATCTGTAAGAGGAGGAGAGATCAGGTTTCACTCGTCTATTTGGAACGGGTGAACTTAAAAAGTGGAGGAATGTAAAAATCTGATTGGGAACTCATTCGGGTCTAAAATGTCCAAATTTCACAGCGTGTTTTTTTTTTTTTTTTCTCTTTCCTCCTGTATTTTCATAACCTAACCCATCGTGCAAAAAGTACTACACTTGGCAAAAACGCAGGAGGAGTTTCAGCGTCATTCCTCGGAGGGATCTGGTCATTATTTGGTTCTTAGGGAAAAAAAAAAAATTGTTCGAAAGGTAGAATCTTGGATTGTCGTGGTCCCCAGCGTCAGTGGCTCCTTTAAGACATTAGTGGCCCATACCTGGTGAAAGACACGATACAAGTCCATCAGTGGCAGACAGGTGTGGGTTAATGGCTGATCGTTGGACACGCAGGGTCAAAGTAAATAAAGAGCACAGCGAGGAGTCAACGTGCCATTCAGAGGGCAGAGTTACGCAAGCAAAGGCCTGAAAAAAGGAGTCATTCGGTCAAACTTCAGTGCGTGTTGCTGCGATTTTAAGTGGTAGACAGTTTAACCCATAACTTTGAAGTAGGAAGTTATGGGTATATGCATCTTTTAAATTTTTTTTACCAAGTAAAATCTGAAAAATGAGGCGTGGATTTATATCCAGAGCAAGGATTCCTCTTCTTAATGTGCTTTGATTTTTTTTTGATACATTTGGAACAGATTGTAGCCACATGTTGTCACAATCAATGCATGAGAAACATTACGCAAAAACTGCCCATCAACCTGAACACGATGCACAGGGATGTTTCATTTACACAAGTTATGCCACAGTTGTTTTCACCCCCTAAAATCTGAAAACAGAAGTAAAATGTAGTCTAATTGCACCAGCTTTCAAAAATCAAACGCATCCAATTGGGTATACATTTACAGAATCTATCTTTTTAGACAAATGTTTCTCATAGTTAGCGAGGGCAAAAGTGTCTCTGAATTGAAAAGGTTGCTGACTCCTGGTATAGATCAATGCATTTTCACTTGTTAGAGTGGCCCAGTCAAAGTCTGGACCTAAATTCCAATGAGAATACATTCCAAGTCTTTAAAAACGATCCTTTGCATTGAATATGTCTGCGCTTTATTTTGAATAGTATCTAGATAGGCTAATATGACAGAAACACAATAAAAGTAGTTTTGCAAACTACTGTCTTGAGTGAGTGTGAATACAAACATAATTTTGTTTTTTTCCTAAATATGTGCTACTTTGTTTTAATCGTGCACATGACACAGTAAGTACAAAATACACAGACGCTTGTGGGTGTCTGTGCATTTCATCATTTCCACATGATGAAATGTGAAAATGTTAAAAGGTTATCATCAGATATTATTAGATGAGCAACGCTAACCGCGACAAGCCAGCAATATTTTCAAAATGTAACCATTTCAAGTAAAGCTTATTTTTCCACATATGCTGCCAACGTGTGCGTGTGTTTTGCAGCATCAAACGTCCACCAAGGTCCTGCAGCCAGCTCTGGGTGAGAAATGCGAAATCTGTACAAATCCTCTGTCATCCTCTAAGTCGGCCTGAAATGGTGCACTAATCTGCAACATACCAGCCATTAATGTGACAAAACCGGCCTGGCAGGAGCTCCGCTTCTAACACTCATCGGGTCTAGAGCAGCAAAAGTGGAGCCGTGCGTGAGTGAAAAAGCTAAAAGGTTTGAGTGGCGTCACAATGGCTGCTGAGTGTGTTTATAGAAGCAGGAGGAAGGAGGGGAGCATGCATGTGTGTTGTCCCCCCGTGCACTGAACAAGCGGCACATTACATCGACACGTACAGAATCCATCAAGGCCAAAGTTCTCGCCTGTCTGACTGCCGGAGGTGGAGTGAAGGAGAGGAGGAGAGCGAGGGGGCGGGGGGAAGAGGGACTGCGATCCAATTTTAAAATAGCAAGCAATGTTTAGGTGGCATCCTAAAAGGCTGTGGAGTCAAACAAATGGCACCCTGGAAAAAGACAGCAGGGAGGGCAGTGGTGTGGCCAGTTTTCGGTTTAAGGACACGGTGCTGTGTAAATCAGAAGTCTGTCGACAATTTAACACGTGTCGCAAAAAGGTCACGTCTCTAATCTTCACCTGAACATTCGAGGGGGAAAAAAAAAAAATGGGAAAAGGTGGTACTTTTAAAAAAATGTCAATGCATTTTGCAACCCTCATTGGTTGGAGAGGGTAAAGTGACAGCTTGGGGAAAGAATAGGCCCACTCTGCAAATGCTCTTTACAAATCTGGTGCTCTCTGACCAGATCTGTCAGGTCTAAGGACTAAAATGTATTAGTTCTTTTATGAGGCACGAAATTTTAGGCAATAGCGAAAAAGCTGCTCTAAATTTAACAGGAAAATTTAAACTTCTTTTATTTTGGGTGTTAACTTCCAGAAAAACTCCTTCAGATCCTCCCATAAATACCTTTTGCTAAATGATTTATACAGTACATATTTTCACTGCCATTTAGGAACTAATATAAGCTACTTTTTTAACTTTCTGTAGCAGCAGATCAATTTCAACTGCATCATTTTTTCTTTCCTCTTGCAGAAAAATGCTAATGTTTTGCTAGCATCTCATTTTAGCAACAAATAAAACTCTATACTTATTTTATTTGGCTTATTTATATGCTTATATACTTATATATAAGCATATGCCATTTCAAACTCATATTAATCTGCACTACAAATTTTTTTAGCTAGCCATGCTGTAATGCTAATGATGGCAACTTCCAAAACAGCCATATAAATGATACAATTCTTGCTAAAAGCTCTTGCAAAAAGTAAAAATCCTTTAAAGAAACTATTAATTGTTTTGTTCAAAAATGCTTTAGGCTTGCAATAACGAGCTGACACTTGAATCGCCTACCTAAGACCGTTAGCGACTGATTTGGTCTCTCCTCTGCCTGCCATCTGGAAAAATCACAACAAAATGAAGGTTATAAAGCAGCAAAGACATGGAAATTTAATTAAACATACCTGAACTACTTACTACAAAAATACATCCACCTCTCCTGTCAAATCGTTTTTCCTTACATCACATTGTAAGCTAACGATGAGCTCGCTAACCACTACCTTGCTTCCCCACAGCACAGGACCAGAACCACAGAACTCATTACAGCAGACGGGTCTGCTGTTGCCCAAGTATGAAAAACTGACCGAGACACTTTGCAGAATATCCTTCACTCACTCACACACACACACACACACACACACACACACACACACACACACACACACACACACACACACACACACACACACACACACACACACACACACACACACACACACACACACACACACACTTTTCTTTCTGCAGGAAAAATGTTTTGTATAAAATGCTGTGACAGTATTTGCAGTCTTACAGATTCTTTTTCACTCAAATGTTTCAGATCATGGTAGAAGGAAGTCTGTAAGGGTGCAAATAAAAATGAAAAAAAAAAAAAAACATTTCACCAACTTTCTCAACAAAACATTCAGTGAAGCTGAGCGTAGAGCTGTGATTTGTGGCCAACAGAAGCTGGAGCAGTGTGACGTGACAAAGCCACCCATGAAAAGTGTCGACACCCAGCGTTTGGACACCAGGGCGATCTGGACCGGCATAAATCTGCTCCGTTACGGGTGTTAAGATGACCGGACTTGGGCCTGATTTATACGTTTGTCTTTTCCAATGAGCCCGACTCTTGTTTATTGCTCTAAATTCCAATCAAGCCCGTAATAAATATCTGAAACTCATGGGCGCCTTATTGTTACGACAACTATAATAAGCAGTAGTGTCCAAACAAAGCAGAACAGAATGCAGCTGTGTCCATGTCAAGAGAGCAAAACAGCGTAGCAGCAGAGCGTGGGGGTCATTCTGGGACAGGCGTGTAGAGAAAACGCAGATTAATTACTCCTTTACCTCTCCAGGCTTATTCCAGATTGAATGCCGAGGTCAACTAGCTGTGAGAGTTCTTTAAAACAAAAACAAACATGAGTGATTGTTACTTCCATTCCCGTGATGGCGGGGTCAAAATAACGTGAGATTCCGGCCTCTTCCCCTCCGCCTCCTCTTTAGAGAAACATTCTCTTGAGTAGCAACAACTGGACACCGAGGACAAGCCTGGAAAGCTTTCCGAGACCACAAACCACTTCATGGCATAGCTAAGACTTCATCTGGATGTTGTAATGCTCAGCTAGACTTATTTTTCTCCCCCCTCTCCCTCCCTTCCCCTTTTCCGATCTGGTCCTCTAATCACCCGGCTCATGTTAGAAGAAGACACAGAGTGAGCGGAGATCAATAGGAGCTACCTTTGTCGGAGTGGCGCCTTTGTTTTCCCATAGACTCCTCTTGTTGGTGACATCAACGGGTTTCAGGTCCTGTCGGAGCGAATCGGAGAACAAAAGGCAGAGACAGAGCGATTTATCTGTGGCGCTCGGCAACTGTAGATCTGTTTGATTTAGACTGAAGCAACAGGGCACAGATAGCTGGGAGAGTGAGGAGGAAGGGAAAGCTGGAGGACTGTTTGTTTGTTCAGAGGAAGTGGAAAAACGGAAACCTCATTCCAAACCCAACACGTCTTACTTGAATCTGCTGAGAGGCTCGATCTCTGTTCTCGGTTTTAGATCAAGATATTTAAGTGTACTACGATATGAAACTAGAGAAAAGAAAATACTTTGTAACATTTTGTGTTTTTGCATTTTCAGACCATGAAGCAAATTCTAATAACCAACAAAGGAAATAGCCAGTATTTCATTTTGCCCAATATTTTTTGCAGAACTGTTTATTTCAGCCACACTGATGGTTTTTGGATTGGATGGACGATTAATCAACCGTGAGGTAATCACAGATAACTCCGAATTTAACAAAAGGGGCAATTTTTTCAAATTTGTTCAACTTGCTTTCCAAATCTTCTTCTCTCAATACATAAAATCAGCCTTTCTTTTTGTTCTGCTACATCTTAGTGGGACAAAAAAACAGAAAGAGAAGAAGTCTGGAAGGGGTCGTTTAATTTTTCCCAGTGTGTTTAACAACAAGCCGTATAATGTAAAAATGAAAAACTGATACTTTTAAAACTGCATGACAGAGTGCACCAAACTGCTGTCGACAATTTCCATCTGTATGTTGAAATTACAACTATATCTGTGGCCACCAGGTGGCGCCAACTAGATGACAAGACGACCCGGTTTCTGCTCCCTGAAACAAAGTCTGTCCTGCAGAGAAGAGGGGAGAGCCAGAAACTTTTTATTGAAAGGGATTAGATGTTGCAAGACGAAAGCTCTCTTGCAAATCTCTTGCAAAACAAGATGGAAAAAAAAGGGATTGACAAAAAAAAAGAAGAAAAAAAAAAAAAAAAAAAGAGAAACTCCGATTAAAATCTTTGCTATAAAATGTAACTGATGCGAGAAACTAGAGTGTCCCTTGTGAATGAATATGTGAGTTGTCATAACGCAGGGAGCTGATTAGGACGTTTCTCTCTTAATATAAATTTCGCGGTTTATAAAGCGCCTCTGAAGCAGAATATTTCCTGGCAGTGACCTACCGTTGGCCTTCCTCCTGACGTCTTGCCGCTCTCTGGGGTTTTATTCAGCCAGTCGTTGATGCGGCCTGCCACGCCCGTCTTTATAACAGCTGCTTCCTGTTTGAGCAAGGTCAAAGGTCAGGCAAGCTTGCAGTAATCACTAGCTGTTCAACCGTATTCACATGCCTTCAACTTAGCTTTTTGTCATGTTACAAATGCAAGTTTGACAGACAGGGGAGTGAAATTAATTTATCCAGCTATGGCGCTTAGTCATCAAGCAAAATGCAATGTTTGGTGGACAGAAAAAACACTGAACACCCTGAACACACCATCTCTACAGTGAAACGTAGTGGTGGCAGCATATTGTACTTCCTTCGAGAACAGGAAACAGATTTATTGAGATAATACATGAAATGTGAAATGGATTTACATATCTGATAGAGTAATATTCCATACATTGTTTAGCAGCACCAAAAGCTGGTTCTATAAAGTGTTGATACATGGAAACTCGGGAATAATTTTGCACCTGCTTTCTCCAGGCTTTCAATTGAGGTGAATAAAAGTAAAACATTCATTGGTAATAAACTCTATACATCCATTTGTAAGTTTTCTTTCTTTTACCTTAAAAGTGCTCCCAGCACTTCCGGGTGAGCTGAACACATTCCCTTTCTCCCACATGCTCTTAATGTTTCGTACGTCAGTGACCATGGGAAGATCCAACACGGTGGAGCGAGGGGATTTGGACTCCTTGTTCTCTCGCTGTGAAACAGTGTTAAACAGGGATGGCAGCTGTAGTTGTGGCTGAATCATGTTTTATTAAAAAAAACAAACAAACAAAAAAAAAAGATTTCGTAGCCACCCAGTGCTATTTTGTTCCTGTAAGTAATGAATAAATAGCCTTAAATAACTGACCTGAGCAGCTGAGGTGTACTGCTCCAGCCGGTTGTCTATCTTGGACA